TATTAACCACTGCAGGGCTGGTCCAGAGGAAGTCCCTGGTCTCAGGTCTTTTAGTGGGACTTCCCAGACAAATGGACTCAGCACTAGGTGAGTCATGCATTGAATCAGGTGGATAAGGTGTTTCAGCAGAGGAGATAGGAATATTCAAACTGCTTCCAAGACATAAATCAGACACTATTTGTTTCAGCATATCAAAACTGCTAGGAGTGTTTATAATTCTTCTGTTATATCAATAAAAAAAATATATATATATACTATAATCGATCTTTAAAAAGATTTGGTCTTTCAAAAGTAGTTATAATAGTTGGGATTGAGCACAATATTTATACAAATATTGGGTCAAAGTGGAAAGTGAGATCCAGAAATGCACCCACAGGACAGTGAATAAGTGTCAAGGACCTGAGATACTGTCCAGGAGAAGACTACAGATGGCGCTGTTCCATAACATCATGTAACCCTCATAAGAAAGAATATAGAGAGCAGAGCATCCCAAACAAAATAGAGCACAGTCTGTTTAAAACCTTTGTAAATTTCTAACAACAAATGACTTGTTGCTTTTGTGATGGTTCGAGATCATTATTGATAATTTGCACGGACATTACGCTGGGGGTCTTCTACATGTATTTTCATGGTGAAATGTTTCTGTAATTACCATGGTGACACAATGTGCATATTAGCAAACACAGCCAATGCAAAACATTTTAAGATAGTCTGAAAACTCAAGAAAACTTTCTGGTCTGATCTATACGGCATTCATGGTCCTATTCAGGTGTTTGATTTTCAACAAAAAAGGTGAGAGTGACTAACTGAAAAACTGTCGCCTAATGCTGGCTCGCCTGTGACTGTAATTGTATGTGCGAGAGACTTGTTAAACAGCACAAATCAGCTCACCTGTTTTAGTTTCAACTAAATCAGATCTTTCTACTCAGATTGTGTTCAAATAAAGCTCAGATTAGAGTCTAACAAGCCTCAGAATGAGCAGTGCTTACAGTTAGCACTGCAAACCCCACAGAATCTTCATGACATCAGCTGCAAAATAACTACTGAAAAATACAGCTTACTTCTAAAATGTAATGTACAGTCACTAAAGAAATTATTGAAGAAAAATGTGCATGCCAAGAATCTATACATTAAAATGTGTTCTCAGCTGGCCTTGTTACATCACTAGGCCCAATCTACATAACAGGTCAAAACACTAACGCAAACAGTTCAGCTCCAGCCAAATATTTACCAGTGTTTGGCCTCTGCAGTATAAAGCTTCAGTATGTGCGTATGGACAACACACACACACACAATCATCTGCCAGAATGCACACGAGTGGGTGGGTCCAAGGATTGCCAATAGCAGCAAGTCTATTGGCTATGCTTTTCACATGAAAACACCAGACTATAGATCCAAATATGCAACTTATACAGAAGATAAATCAAATGTTATAATATGTGTTATCATAGTTTCAAATTTTGTAGAATCCCATGTGATATTAGATGAAATTCATGTTACGCAAACTGTACAAAAATCATTGGTTGGGTTGTCAAAAGTATCAAAACTCTGATATTAATGTATATTAAATCTAATATTGAAAATAGATCATTTGAGCAGGTAACAATACTAAAAAAGCTCCATTCACAGGACAAAAATTAACCTTTCCTGAATAGCTTTAGAATGATCTTGAGCTGTATCAGAACAAGTGTAAGACCACAGAGACTAGTATACGCCCATGGACCCATGGACCACATGGGCACTATTATTTAATGAGTATCGAAGTAGAGTTTGAAATGTTAGTATCGTGACAGCACTAGTAACTGCGTAAGGGAAAAGGGAAGCAAGACAAAATAGGAAAAATAGTCATTTAGCCCCCATTACCTCACAGTTCCTCCAATCACTTTAAAATATAATGAAAGCTCCTCTCCTTTCTAAACTGTTAACCCTCCCACATGTTTCGGTGTATCAGAGCATCCAGATTAAACTAAATGTGTTTTTGTTTGGTGTTGTGCAGCTGTGTTCTGTAAAGGTGGCCAATGCCTTTAAATAAAACAACAGGCTGTGGTCGGTCAGGTGGAAAATCACTTTCTCTCTGTCACCATCCGCTCCTTTGGAAATATGACCTGAGGAGCCTGGAACAGACTGCCCAATGTAACAGAAGGAGGGGGCGTAAAACAGACTAATAGAGCCTGTAAACCAGTGGATACCAACCTTTTAATACCCCCTAAGTTTTGTATCACTGAGCTTCCCCATCTCGTATAATGTTGACTCCTCTTGTATCTGTTTCTAATATATTGTCAATTTCTTTCTTTTTTTTTATTTTTATGTTGTACTGGGATTTTATGACAAAAGATATAACATTTATTGCAAAGAAAATGCTATTCAATTCTACCTTCATCAAGCTCTGAAAATTATTCCAACTACCCCCTGGTAAGAAACTGTGTACTCCAAGGGTCCCCTTGCGCCCCTGTTGTGAGACACTACAGTTTTACTAAATTTAATATTGTGCTAATGATATTGCCAGCAATGTTCGTGTGTACTTTTAATTATACATAATACTCTACTTACTGATTAGATTAAATCGGGAGAAAACAAATGGACTAAATCTGGATTACAACAAGACAAAACCAGGTACAGTGGAATTAAACAAATGAAATGAACACTTAACTTGGACTAAAAAGTGCTTGTGTCCACAAAATATATATATATATGAAAAACACATGTTTACACTTTGACAATGCAAAAGAAACCAGGACTACATCGGGTCTTAACTCTGATTAAACCACTTCTAAATTGTCATATTCAGAATCTTATAATTGCAATGTTGAGTTTTACATTTGTAATAAAAAATAAAGTTTTCTATGAATATTGGGAGATAGTCAACACTGCAACAACAACAAGAGCTCTCAAACAATTTTATACAGATTCTAATATGTACAACTTCAATCTCTCCATCTTCCCTTTTTTCTGGTTTGTATCTTTCTTACACAGAACGCTTTAAGCATCTTGTGACGAATGCGTATTCCTCTGAACCTGTGGCATTTGTATTGGTCTCCGGAGACATCAAGGTTAATTGGAATCAGCCGTTAAAAGACGTTCAATATTCTAAAAGTGACACCAAATTATGTTAATGGTGGTTTGAAGTCCTTGTTATCAAGGTGGAATCAATCATGGCTGCGTCCCAGGAGGTCAGTAGCCATACATAGCAATTAGCACAGTGAAGAGAGAACTACTGTTGTACCCAGTCAGCTAAATGTCACTCCAATTCATCCCTGCAAATGCTAAAGAGATACCCCTTGATATTGTCATAACCTCATAATAGAATATTATTTACAAACAATGAAAGGTTTGTTTTCAGCAGCAAGTAGAAGAGGTAGTAACAATGGCACTCCATAATAGTCTATTATGTAATGGAGTGGGTTTGTTATCATTAAGGACAGCTTAATATGCACTGAGCACTAACCATGTTCAATACTCCCAATGTTATATTTATGTGTTAATTGTATCATCTGATAGTTTTTGTGAATTATTTTAAGTTAGATCAAAGAGGACTAACTTCCAGGGATTTCAGCTCATATAACAAAATATTAGGTCTAACGCACATTAAACTATTAACTATATCACTGTTTCATGTAAGATGTGCAGACTTCTCTCCCTACACACACTTTCTCCTCTCCTAGTCTAGTCCTAGGTCTACCTTAAACCCCTTAGCTGACTTTGTTATGCGAAATGTGGAAATCTCATCGCACTGAAATTCAAAGCTGTTGAAGAGAAATTGAAGATTGTATAATGAACTGCAACAAAGATCAGGCAAGTCCCAAAGAGCAGCCCCAGCGCAGAAATAATCCCAGAATAGACCAGGGTTAAACCAGGACAAGAACAGGACCAAAAATGTCTAAAATAGTAGTTTAAGTGTTGTTTTTATCAACTTTATCAGCTACATTTACCAACAAATACCTATAATATCTAACCAAACCATAAAGCAGAATTATCTTCCAAAAGGTATTCGAAATGTACAATGGTTAGTTAGTTAAAAACAAGAGCTCCATTGCAACACTACAACTTCAACAGCTCAAACCATATTGCCAAAAAAGTTTCCCACTAGTACAAAGAATATTAATGATAATTACATTTATCTAAAAAAGTTATTGTTCCCTCTATCATGTATAGGGTGACCAGAATTTCAAAATCAAAAACTAGGACACTCTCAGTTTGGGGTGGTTGGTAATAATAAAACAGTTCTGCACTTGGCCCATTCATGACTAACACGAGAGTCCATATAATCAAATTTTCTTTGTCTTTTGGTGTATTTTTAAGCACTTTTCTGTATTTTACCTAAACAAATGTCAGTGTATGCCTCTCTTTACTGTTGGCAGGTATAAAATTTATCAAAAATAGGGACACCTAGGACATTTCTTGAATAAAACTGGGACAAATCACTGGTTGTGTATAAATCTGCTGGGACAGGGGAGACAGGGCTCAAAACTGGGAGTGTCCCAGCTAAATAGGGACGTGTGGTCACCCTAATCATGTAATGAACGATAAGTTGATATAGTAATTATCATGACAGGCCTTCTTATACCCCACCCATACAGTGTATATTTAAATGGAAATAGCTAACCTGAAGTGAACATGAGGGCACGTTGTCAATAATTGCTACAGTGAGCTTCGTCATTTCTTAAAAGGTTCGTACTAACCCACTCTCCATGTTCCTGGTGTTTTTATTTCGCTATTTTGTATTTTGTAAATAAATTCCTATTCCTGATACAGAACTCGACTCCAGATTCCCTCCTATATCCGCTACTGACATCCTGAGTTTCATTTGACTGGAGCCAAACGCTAGCTTATGGATGACATCACACTCCATTAGTCCACTTCTTTATACAGTCTATGACCCCACCTCAGGCACAAAGCACTCTGGGATATTCTTTACTCAACAACTTCCAAAACATTGCATTTCACACACCAGCCTCTGCTATAATTGTATGAACTTGTATGCCCCTGTGCCATGGCCAAACCTGATGGCTGTTTTCTCTGTGGCGTCTGGCTCTTCTGTGCCCGGGAACTCATCTGCCAGGATCTCCTCGGGGCTGCGGGGGTCGTTCAGGAGCGGTGTCTGCTCTTTGCCTTTGATGCCCATTCCCGCCGTGATGGCATTCCACAACGCACTCTGGGACTTGGAGCCTGGAGCCACACATGAAAGACCAGCTATTCGTGATTAAGCGTATCATATAGTTGTTATTTATTGAACAAATGTTAGGTTTAACGTGCATATGATTAATTAGACAAGAATGTTTGACTTAGTTTTTAGCATTTCACTTATTGGTTAGACATGGGCATCAAATGTGACAAACATACAGGCAATTCCAGTTCTGTTACCTAGCAACAATAATGTTAACTAGGGTCAAAACCTGTCTAAATTGCACAATAGTCATGATTAGACTATTAAAACAGATCACAGCACCTTTATTTTATTAATGAAGGTTTAAACTGCCAGAAAAATGCCTTCCTTGTACAAAAATTGTCCTTGCTTTTGGATGAAATATTTTGTTGTAGAACTCACCACGGATTGCTGGTTTTTTGTGTTTTTCTTCTCAACTTTTTTCCACAAATTGTCATGTAATGATGTGATAAATATTTACCAAATGTGCTACCCAAACCAAGTAATAATTGAAAACCTGTCATATGCACTTTAAACATAGATAGTAAAGCAATTTCAAGCTAGATGCATGGTCTGTAGTTACAATGTTGGTTTTTGGGGGGTTTTTTTTGAACGGTACAGAGAAGCAATAAAAGGAGTGAGAGCCTTTACGATGCTGCCCTCATGTGGACATAAATGGTATACACATTGTAAGCTTATGCTAGCTCATTATATTGCAGTTATGTTGGCCATGGATTTTCCTTTAAGCAAAATAATTATTGCATTGCTATTTCTGAAATCCCTGTGTCTAATATATGATAGAATGCAATCTAATCTACACTAACAGGAACTGACAGATTGACAGAGAAAAGAGTAAACAAAAAAAGCTCCTATAAGCATTGATTAAATTTCTTATTAAAAACATACATTACGTTACAGTATATATACAAAACAATTACAAGTGAAATAGTGCAGGAAAGTTTAAATGTTACTCACGTGAAAAACTGGCTGTTGGTCTGCTGGTGTCTGCATCTTCATTTGCCACTAGAAAAAAGAGACACAAAAAAACCTTATTATGCACATTTATAATTCAAAAATCTTGGTTATCATTGGTCATCATTAAGTATTTTAAGTAAGAGATTTTAGTACTTAAAGTGTGCACAGATAATTATGTTTTTAAAATTATTAGCCCGAAGTAAATATTTATCAGTTTTACATCAGTTACAGCGAGTACCAGTGAGTTCTAAAAATAAATGCCTCTACCAGTGTCATCAAATGTCATAAATTCCATCAAAAATGTTGGTATTTTAGTTTAAAAAGTGATTTCACAAAATATGTAAGATGCCTCTCTTCGTATGTCATATCTGCCCATGTCCAACCAGGAAATAAAATTATAACATTCACCAAAATTACAAAACTAGAAAAAAGAAGGCTAGGATTTTAGTAATATCTTTAATATAGTGATGTTTGAGTTGCACTGTGTAACATTTCTAGTGGAAGTTTAGCCACTTTCTGTCTCCAAGGAAATGTTATTGTTCCCTAGTATAGATTAAATGTATCTATCATGACAGAGACATGCAGGTTACAGAACTAGACTACATTACAATTCAGATCTGTGTTGCTCAAAACTAATGTATTTTTGAGCAACAGAAACGCCAATATTGAATAAATGTAGATGGAAATGTTTAAAGTCATGCCATGGAACATTCCAGGTAAAGCAGTTACATCTCCATGGAGACAAGCAGGTGGCGAACCCTCCACCAGAGAAGTTGCACAGTGCACCTTTAAGTAGTTATTAATTACTAGTCAAACCTGTCATATACATTACTTTAACACGCTTAAAGAGATCTGTATTTTTATAGTTACTAAAATTATAATATGTTTTGACAGCAATCGGCCCAGTCAAAAACCCCCAACAAAAATAATCAGATGATAGACCGTCAGTTCTGAATCACCATCATTAAAAAAGACCAGTCAACTCCAACTGAATCTGACGTCTCCACTTCTCACAGTTTGGACAGTAGAAGATTCACATGGTTTAATTAGTTACTTTAGTCCTGGTTTCCCTATGTAATTGGACACTATTGCAATTTCACACTATTATAAAAAGCGTTGGCGACCCTTTGAATAGACACAGACAGTCAGTAACAATGAGGAGCTCTCTGCCACAAAACACACTTTCACCGAGGCTAATTGCTACCAACTACTCACCAACTACTACTCAAATGTGCTCAAAATGACAATGACGACCCACCTGTATTTTTCTTCTATATAATCTAATGAACCAGCTATTTGTTCTGAAAGCTCGTTACTGCACTGTCTAATTAGCTGTGGGCAGATATTGCTGTCACGAATTACCTCTGACCTCTGCTCTTTAAAAAGCAGCATAGATCTATTAATACATAGGTAACTGAACACCTGCAGTTATAATATAAAGTGGACTTCTATACTATGGGTGGACGCTGTATAATGAAATGAGTAGTTGATCGATTATATACACAGAATGCATACAATTTCCTGGAGTGAGTCAATACTACAATGAATCATATTATTATTGGTTTCAAATTACAGTATTTTCTTTGCTAATGATCATAATAATATTAATATTACGTCTTATGTACTGCCACTATTGTGCATACATTCGGACTTCTGGTCATCGCATGATGCATACTGGGAAGGGTCCTCGGAAAAAGTGTTTTTGATTTCCCAGTGTGATGCGTCTATTGTCAAAGTCAATCTTTTCAACTCTTTTGAACCATATCGTTTTTGTTTCTGGTTTTAATATTGTCATATTTTAGGTATGGGATTCGGACATCATAATTGTGTGGTTGTTGGATGCCCTAACAGCAGAAAACGAGCTTCGGAAGTTTGCGAACTCCATAAATGCAAAAGGGAATCTGATCTGTGTGACTGCAAACCTCTGTTCAAACTGTTTCCTTTCCCAACGGAATTGAAAAATAGTGAAAGGCAAAGGCAATGGGCAGTACTGATACACAGGACGGACGAAAAAGGGAACCTTTGGCTGCCTAAATTATTCCGAGCTTGCAGTGAACATTTTGTATCTGGAGCGCCATCAAAGCAAAATCCTGTTTGTTAAGCGAGACATACAGAAGACAAGCAGGCCGAGCTAGCACTTTCTTGTTCGACTGACTTTACAGCAACATCACGTCTTGGTTGCTTTGCAGTGGAAGGCGTTTCAGGGAGAAGAGCTGATGCCTTTCGTTTTGGCGTTGAGTTTTTAAATTCGCAACCAAGGTTGAGCGAAGGATCGGGATCTTGCTTTGATGGCGCTGCACATTAAAACATTCACTGCAAACTCAGGATGATTTCTTAGGCAGCCAAAGGTTGCCTTTTTCATTCTTCCTGTGTATCAATACTGCCCATCACCTTCGTCTTGTCAGCTTGTCTACCGGAGATGTTGTTGCTTTGCCAAGAATGTTCCACAGTATAGCATTAAACTTATAAATTACCATGGAGCAGGTGGCAATACCAAGCCAACTTACAAGAAATTTCTGTGGAGAACGATCCACCTGTTCGGTATAATTTCATAACATAAATAAAGCAATAAAGCATCACAATTGTTTAATATTAAAATAATAGTTTCCAGGCCATGACCCCCTTCTCTTATTATAATGCAGCTTTTGGCTTGAGGTCCTGTCTGAGTGTGTGAGTTGAAATTGGATTTTTCCATCTGGGACTGGGACTGTTTGAATGGAGCAGAGCAGCAGATAAGAGTTCGACCTTCACTGGGCTGCAGCATGTTCTGTCACTATTCACTTCTCATTCATTCACTATTAGCATATTAGTCTGGGTTGTACAAGGTTGCTGTTAAAGGTATCTGTTAAAGGTAGTGGTAAAATCAAAAAGTAAAATATTTTAAGTGGGTGTGAAAAATACTGTCAATTAGGAGTTATTCCCTCATGTGTTTATTTTATAATGAAAGGCAGAAAATAATGAACTATAACTGTATTGGAACACTATTTATCCAGTTGTTTTGGCCAAGTATCCCATGTCTAGTGAGTGATTGATTGGTGGTTGGAGAGGCACAGACTAACAGCCACCGCCAGTCTACCCCAGGGCAGCTGTGACCACAGTACTAGTTTATCACTTGCTTACCACCACTGAGTGTGGAATGAATAAATAATGCATTGTAAAGCGTCTTTGTAAGTCCACTGGCACTATAAAAAATAAAATGCATTAATATTATTTAGGTTCATCAAAACGGTCTTTTCTCTGTTCCTGTCGCCTGTAGCCCACAAGTCTATATATGACGAGGACAGGCTTTTCTCTGATGGTATTTGTTCTTTTATTCCAGTGTTGGAGGACGAGTAGTTTGGCACATAACAGGTGATTTTGTGGAGCTGGAAAGAATAACAAAACAGGTTATAAAATGTGGTAATTCAAAGCAGTGGTTGCGGAAATGTCAGGTAGAGGAGTGAATTTGGCTCGTGGTGGATCGTAAACACTGCGTTGCCATGGAGATGGGTGTTAAATGTCATCATGAAAATAAAGCTGTATTCTGCATCAGATCAGAGGGGAAAAGGCGCCATTGAATCACTTTTGTCTTCAAATTTGAAATAATAGAAGCACTATTACTACACATTTGTTTATCATACCTTTTACCTTAAAGGTGTATGTAACTTTTAGGGAGGGGTCTGCACCTCTCTGTATCTATGGATAGTACATTGCATGGAATGTTCCACAGTATATGGCATTAAAGCTATATATTTTGCACTTATTCAATATGCTCTGCACACAACAGCCAATTATAGGTGGTTATTGTTCAAACATACCATGAAAAATACATTTTTACAGTGAGCCTTTACCTTTCCACTAACCTGTAACTTTGGTCACCTGACATTCTCCATGGAGGATAGATATGTTTGATGCCATAGTGTGGAACATTCCAGACAAAACAATAACATCTTCATAGAGACTATCTCTTGGCAGACCCTCAGCAGAAATATTCTTATGCACTTTCAAATTCAACATTGCTCCAATAAGGTAATGTCAACATCCATAAATAGTGTACCACATAAGTACATGTGTTTACCTTAAATCAAGTAAAAACCTGAGAACATTGCACTTTTCACACATCATTCACACAAGAATGCTACGAATTAGCGACTTTGCGGCAGCCTTTTGGGAGAAGCACAAATTGAGCATGTGTAATGTGTAAATAACAGGTAATGATGCCTGAGGTGAGATTGTTACATTCACACTTTGACTATCTGGGAAGTAGTTTAATGAAAGATCAGCCTATTTCTTAGACTATACGTTTCTATTTATTGTGCTAGGAATAATTATTACTTGATTTGGTGGTATAGAACCTGTATTAAAAGATTATCATAATTTACATTAATTGAAATTTTTTTTTAAAAGTACAAAAATACTGTGAGCTCTAAAAAAATTCCCTCTACCTATGTCATGAACACAGAAAATATCATCCAAAATGAAGACTATTTAGACAAAATGAGGCATTTTGTAGTGGTTTAAACATGGACTGTATATATATTTATATATATATAATATAAATATATTTCTTTATTTTTTTTATTCTAATCATAACTATTCTTTAAACCATTTAAACCAACTGTATAAACCAACTGGTTTTGGCCCTTGTTTTACATTATGGTTGTCAGGTAACATATGTCTGTTGTGCCCTGTCCAACCAGGAAATAAAATTATAAACCACAAAATAAAAAATAAAAAACAGAGAGAAACTAGATAATACTTTTACTTTCATTTTTTGTTTCATTTACAAATATTTGAGCAAACTGTTTAAAAAAAATAAAAAATTCTCGCCAGGCGAGAAAATAAATGAAAATACATTTTTGGGTCTGATTGACCCGCCCCAAGAGAGCGGGAAGGAAAAAAAATGTTTCTTTGGGTCTATGTGACCCTGAGGAGAGTGTGAGGGTTAAAAAAGTGTCTTTACACTCTGGCTCACTAGGAAATGAGGTCCTATGTCCAAAATTCCGGACTGTCCCTTTAACAGATTTTAGCAACCACAACTTGCATTCGCACAGACTGCAAAAGGAACA